TGTGATAATTCAAATGTGCCATCGAACTGAGAGTGTACGTTGGTTCCTTCGAAGCGGTGTTGCTCTGGTTTATTCGGAGGTGGCCGAATCAGATCTGATTGTGAGTAGAAGAAGGCATTGGCTCTACATATGGTGGAACTCGTAGTCATGCGTTTGCGCAGCCCAGTAACGGATTCGTCAATATTCAGCACTCTGTTCCCTCTATCTTTCGGTGTTTGTGACCTTAATCCACCTTCGACTTTAATAACTGGTATAAGAGACTACATTAATCTACGTGGACCTTCTCGGATAGGATCGGATCTGCTGAAAAAAGGAAAAGCTTTAAATGTGATGGTTAATGGATCCGTTTTTAAAGAGGGAGTAGGAACAAGCGAGAGGTAGTTTAGGGTGCCCACACGTGTAATAAAGTGGCATTATGTCCTGGATCAATCCTCACTAAGGCCGAAAGCCTGCCATTCAGTCGGAGTCGATTAATTAGTACCATACTCCCTTGAAAGGATAAAAGCTCTGCTGTGTATTTCCTATCGTCATCTCCCTAAAAGGATAAGAGATAAAGTCTTCTGGCGTTAATCAATCCCGTCTGAGAGATGCGCCCCGCATTCGACTTCAATTCAGAGTCGTAGCAGCTTAATGAATGTGTATGTGGCTATACAATGATTTGCGGTGGCCAGCCGATGTACAAGTCAGCGCTTTCGTCCTCCCACACGAGTCTGGTATCAATTAGCTGACCCTGGAGAGATGGAGGGCTTGGTTGGCCTGGGCGGATATAGATTGGGAATTCGAACCCTCGACCGTGCGTGTGATATAATGCGCAACTTGCCACTACACCACCTCCGCTCATAAATGGCATTGAGGCGCATCATACAACCTGATTTTGTTCCAGGTTGTATGATCGGTCAGTACAGAGCTGCTGCAATTGGAGGTTAAAGACACAGATCGCGATAACTTCGGGTTATCCATATTATGGAGATGGAGAATGGTGCGACGAAGGCGAAGGAGCCACGCAAATAGTAGTTTCCAAATAGATAAAAGGCTTTTAGAAAGTCGTTAAAAAAGGTGCTGGATGAGACAAGTCAACAAGACCAGAAAATGGAGCAGAAGGGATGTTGAAGTCAAAAGCATTCATCCTTCATCAGTCTTTCACCCCCAGTTTGTGCAAACGATGAGTGAACTCAAAACTGTAAATATGAAGTTAGCAAAGGGGTGTATGCTGAGATTTGCTTCCAGAAAATTCAAGAATCATGAGTTAAGCGGCTAATGGCTCCATTTCGTTCATCGAATGATAAGATGTCAGTCACCAGAGGATATACAAAAGTAAAAGCTCCCAATGAAGAATAAAGGTTTTTGAAGCGACCTCACCGTTTGGAAGTGGTTCCTCCATGGATACGATGATGATGATGCCTCAGAGTGATCCGTGTAGCTAGTTGGATTCCACAGCACTCACAACAACACCCGGAAATCGGATGCGTGGGCTATCTGGAAAAGTTCATCATCATGAAGAACTAGGCTCGCAAATGTGAAAAAGTTTTAGGAGATCTGTTACATTTGTAAAAATGAATCTCAGGAGAAGACCTCCCTGTTGTTTTTCCCGCACCATCTCGCTCATCAATCGCCGTATCCCATTACATGATGCAATCCTATTAGGTATTTTTCTTTCGAATGTTGGCTCTTAAGCTGCGTCATGTCTTGTGCCGTCCAGTTACCGTCCCAATATTGGCATGAGAAATCGCAATGAAAATGAAAACTTCTTTAGATTTCTCAACTTAGGAAATGTCCTTGCGACTGTGAAACACTCTGAAATATGGCTCTAATATTTCATAGAAAACGCGTACAACTGAAAAAAACTAGATGCCAGGAAGTTCAAGGAACTGAAACGAGCGACCTTAATTAGATGACGTCTATAAATCGTGAAAATGGCTTGTAGGCAGGATAGGAGTAGAGAGCCGCCTTCTACAGTAGACGAAGCAGTAAGGTGGATAATCCATACATCTTTCAAAGGCATAGTTCGAGGATTCTAATTGTTGATTGAAACGGAGTCGTCTTCAGTGGAAGTAGTCGGGTAAGATGAGCAAGAGCAGCAGTGTCTCGTCGATGTTAGTTCTCATTTAGGATCGACGTTGTGTAATGAGAGCTAGAAAGACTTCGGTGCAATTATGCGTGTAGGTCGCAAAACACAGCGGAAGCAGCAAACTGCTCGCGTCGCTATGCCTTACTCATTTTACTTGCAGAACACAACTTCTGCTCCATCAGCTATGTAGCGGTAACTGTGAAGTAAGCGCGGCTCTATTCGGGGCGATCCCAAACCTAGTCTATGAAACGCATCCGTCCACCTGGCAGATCTTCCTCTCGTGATTTGCATCAAATTATACCGCTCTCAGTTTTTGTCGAGGCTGAATAGTCCATTGGGGGTAGTCAATCCGTTCCCAAACTACCCCCTCATTGTGACGTAAAGCTTGTTCGCCGATTGTTTACGTACGGCGCATGCAGGTAGGCAAGTGACTTGCCAACATTCTCCTCTTTCTGGAACCACGATCAATTTGTTTTTCTGACTAATCGTTTTGGCAAGAATGTGCCCCCCCCCCCCTCCCCTCCCCTCCCACACTCCAAAAGCTTGTGTTGTACTTTTTATTTGTTGGTGTTTTTCTTTAGATCTAAACAATTTTGTAAACATCGTAGGTACCCCAAGATGTTTTTTGTTTTGAAAAATGCTATGCGTTGGGCATGGTGTAGCCGAGGCACGTGGTGCTCGGCTGTTCAAAGAAACCACGAGAGAGTTTTCATAGCTGTTCAGTGTAGTAACGAGCCCAGTCATCCATTCGAATCTGATCGAATATCGCTCTTTTTTGCATTTTCTGCTTGAACTGAGCTTCTTTTTGACTATCGGTGGTCACACTGAACTCTTCTACTGATTCTTCCTCACACATATTCAATTCACACTTTTGCAACCTGGAACAGTAGCTTGTGTCCCTTCGTCAAGGCCCTCTTCCTGGGTGCTCTTTGTAGATTGCATCGCAGGAACTTGGAATTCTGTCTGCGCCTTATCATTCTAAACTCTCTCCAGCCTTTTCTAAATACTTTGCCCAGCAAGAGCCCTCCCTTTCCGTCATGGCGCTCAAGCGCGCTCTTTCTCGGCGTTGAGCGAAGTTCTGCACGTACCTCACTTGTGGTGCTTTACTCTATTAATTGCAGTACAAGGACGACGTTCGAGATTCACTACAGGATCATATCCTGCTTTATAAACATGATTTGCGGTCGATAAATATTCTACAGTTGATCACAACGAGTTCGGAAATCACAGAGGGCACGCTGGTTGAGATAGTCATCAGCTGTGAGTTTTCTACCATTGTTACATGAATAAGTCGAATTTTTTCTACCTTATAGCTTATTGTAACCCTACTATAAATATTATATATAAATATTACTTTTAGTTACATTTACATAGCAGTTTGTACAGTATCTGTTCTCACGTCATTGAATCAGCCGATTTCATGGTCAAGCGAATTCTTGGGAATAATCGTCCAAGAAAGGCTGCACTCATTTAAATTCAACAAAATTATGCTCGTGTTTGAAAAAAATTTGATTTATTCGCAGTTTCTGCTTTTTCTTCAGAATTTGCATCTAAATAAGCAAATCAGTGACGTTGATTGTATTGAACGAGTTGGCATCAAACCGGTAAATTCCCAATTAGTTTCAGAGCAGCCGCTATTATTTAGGTTTTTCAATAAGCAATCCTTACCTACTCATTTCCCCTCCGATTGTGGTGCCAGTGATCCGGCAAAATCTGAAGGTTCCTTTGTTTCCGTTGCGGCCAATACATCAGCATGGTCGCTGCTAGCAAAGCTGTGCTGCTCTCGCAATCAATTCTTCTTTTCCTAGTAATAGCCTTCGTCTACCCGAGTTCACTTCGTATTTCATCTATGCACTATTGAGCAATGAGCCTATCATTGACGAACTCTCTTTTCCGCGACGTCCTCTGAAGCTAATTCCCTCACTGTTGAAGTAGGCCGAGGACCCTGTGCGGCGCGTCAATTCGCGCGGCGCATCGATGCCTTTCGTCGCTTCGAGTCTTCTCAGCAGACTGTTGAAGGCATTAGGGGGACCTATCATTCACAAGGATACGTTACTGTGCATGGAGGAAAATTGTACCGCAACTCACTGAAAAATTGGAAAAACTGTCACAGGGAGGTGTTCGTTGAGGAGTGACTGGCTTGGTTGGCCATTAGTAATTCTTCGTTAACTTAACGATATCTCGTTGAGACAGTATTACAAATTAGCACTGCCGATAAGTCAGGCAAATTCGAGTGAGTATTTGTTGAAATAAAGCAATGAAAATCGTTCATGTCAGATTTTTCCTTCAGGGAGCATTTGTACTCGACTGGTTTAATTATTTATTTATTTGTAATTAGTATTGGAGAAATATCGCAGCGGAAAAAGAATAAAAAGGACATAGGTGCCATAACTGTATGAGCTGCAAGCAGAGCCGCACGTGAAAGATGAGCACTATCCATGCGTTATAATGTCCTTTCTTCACTGGAAGGTCTGGACCATATAGACTATGGCACATAACGAACTAATGCTTATTTTCGCTCAATTTTGCGATGAATTTTTGAAATCTAGTTGCTTCTGCCATAGCTGAACCTTGAGTCTTCAGTTCATACAAAAAGGCCCGTATGGATTTTCCTAATACCCTCCAGAAGCCGATTGTCGCTCTTTTTAGTTGGGAGGGACGCGGCAGATGTTGGCCGCATCCTTGCCATTTTCTCAGAGAAAGCAATGCTCTGGTCGTCCCACTCACTAGAGTGGATTGCTCCCACACAGTCTGCCGGTACATGGGAGTGAGGCATTAAGTGCCTGGGTTGTTCACAAGGACCTAAGGCCTGTGGGTTCCAACCAAACCAATTTTCTTAACAGTTGAATTTTTGCGTATTTTTCGAGTTACTTTTTTCGTGCTTATGATTTTGTAAATGCCTATTATATTCGAAGTTGGAATCTGCTTTGCGATTCGTTTTTCATGATTATCCTGTAAATCTCTTTTTAAGTATTAAATTACTCAACTCCGATAGATAACTAACTTGTTCAGCCTGTCCGCATCATGAGCGGCTGGTGGTGCATCCGCACACCTTGTACGTGCATTCCTACAAGGCGCCAACGTTCTGCGATTTCTGCGGCGAGCTGCTGTTTGGTCTCGTCAAGCAGGGGCTGAAATGTCAAGGTGAGCTAGTATCTTTATTTGTTACTACTGGATCAACCAGGATTAGTCAAGGATTTGAAAAGAAGCTAGCGCCTTAGGCGAGTATTGTGGTCAACGGATTCTTCAAACTTTTTTGTTTACAACATCTCGACTTGCATGCCGAATTTTGTTAGTCAAATAAGTTCTTCCTTATATCGTGTACATCCTTGAGACAAACATAATGCACAAATACGGAAGTGAAGGGAATGGAAGAGTATGAAGAAAGCGCTTTTTGAGATCTCAATACTATAGACGTTGTTATGGAAGAGCAAGCATAAATCAGTGTTGCTTTACCCACGTAAGGACTACATATTTTAGCCGTTTATTGCAGTGGAGATTTTCTTTTCTCAGCGATTCTCCCGTAGGAGGTGAACATTGAAGAGGTGTCCATAAAAGCATTCATGCGGTCTGCGAACGAAAGGAGTTTATGCCAGTCTTCGGAACTTACCTTCTTTATGTTTGTTAGGAAGGGCAGATGTGATGTAGTGGTAAATGGCGCCCAATCTCGCATGCATGATGCGAGGATCGATTTTCGGATCGGTATACGCATAAGCCTACTAAGCCTACTATGCATTTCTTCCTTCCAAGGTTCGTTTATTGGTTCCAGACCGTTCGGGAGGATAAAAAGCACTGAAATGTACATCGGATGATCACCGCGAGTCATTTTGCGAGCCAAACACGCATTCACGACTGCGGGGCGTATCCCAAAAAAGGGGCTGATGCAAAAGGCTTTTTCCTTCCATTTATACAGACTCTGATGCTGTGGCTTCCAGTTACTTCTGAAGACCACGTACTTACATATCTGTCATTATTACAATATGAAGGCATTGTTTATGACTGTTTTATAGTAATAATGCAAATTACTAGATGTATAAAATGCCAATGCTCTCTTCGACTTGTTCTCATAATACCACCTTTATCTGATCGAAGCCGTAGTTTCTAACCGTACATTCATACTTTTTAAAATTTATCCTAACATTTGATAATATCCCTCAGCGTTTTTTCCTTTTTCCTTTTGGTGGGGTCGATGAGAGCACGATATTTATTCGAATGATAGATGGGGCAAGGATCTAAGCACACCTGTGTCATGCCAATAAAAACAGCCTCTCAGGCAGTCCCCATCAAAATTCTCATTGAAGCGGCCAATGGTTGACAACGAATACATGCTGCTCAGTTCGTAAAGGGAATGGTATCGTGTTGGTGACGTACTATCTGATGTTGTATAGAACAAGGATTTATCGGAGGATTAGCGTCAAGCGTAAATATTGTCCAACCCGATTACTGGGAATTAACCTTTTGCTCCAGAGTCCGCTGTGCTGCTAAACTTTGATCAGTCAATAAAGTTGCTTGCAAAAAAACCAGCTCTTCAGTAATGTCAGTCCTTGAGGTTTCAATCCTTATAGTTCAGAATTGAACCTCATGGGATTTCTACCCATGATTTGTTATTACTGACAATGAGATTGCTCGAGAAATTGCCGCCTTTCAATTGGCAGTGTTGGGCAGGATCGCATGGTGTGCCATGGCGTCGAGGAAGTTGGCTTCATTAGAAAAACCCTCCCCTTTTGCTGATTCAAGTCTTTCTACGAACCCCCTCCTCCTTTTTAATGAGGTGGCGTTCAAAATATTAAGGGGGATCCTAATCACGATGGCTTTGTATGTTGGCGCTGAAAGGCACATTACTCAAAAGTGGGTAAAATTACAAAATCTTCCTTCGAGTGGCCACTGCTTCCTCCTTTAGTAGTTTTTCGCAGAACTCATAGAATTTGCAAAGAAAAAAGGAGTTCTGTTGTTTCGTTGTCGAGGCATCCATTTGTTTTGAGTTTGTTTTGTTTTAAGGCAAAATGTGGAATTCTGTTGTCTCAGGAAAGTGGAATGCAGTTTATACTGTAAGATAAAAGGATAAAGGATAAAGTTTTTGGCGTTAATCAATCCCGTCTGAGGGATGTGCCCCCGCACTCGAGTTCCATTCAGAATCGTAGTGGCGTAATGAGTGCGTATGTGGCCTATACAATGACTTGCGGTGACCAGCCGATGTACAAGTCAGTGCTTTTATCCTCCCAGACGAGTCTGGTACCAATTCACCGACCCGTTTGGTACCAATTCACCGACCCCGGAGGGATGGAAGGCTTGGTTGGCCTAGGCGGGCATCGAACCGGGATTCGAACCCCCCGACCGTGCGTGTGATATAGTGCGCCACTTGCCACTACACCACCTCCGCCCATACTGTAAGATATCAAGAGCAAAAGATTCAGCGTGTCGATTTTCACTTCTTGAACGATTGCAATAAACGTCCAGAAATTGTTCTAACAAATTGGTTATCGAGTTCGAAAAACGCGAGTTTCTTCTTTCTGATGGGGGCTGAACGATTTTCTTTGGAGTGTACATAGGGTCCCATGCCTAGACACAATCAAAGCATGAAGGGCACCTTTTGATACACTTGAGGTCACATCGGGCACAGCTTAGTTGCCAGCCTTCGAAAAATGCTACCTTGACTCTTTGCTTTGAATTGAGCTTGGTACAATCTACGTCTTAGATTTTCCGATTGGTATGCCACTCAGGCACGGTCATTCCAAAATCAGTGGGTGGGCGTTGGAGCTATTTCTTGAGAACAGCAATTCCCTTTTCTTCAACAACCAATAGTTTTCTTCCAGGAAATTGCGTGCGCTCTTGCTGGAACATACGTATGGCAGAAAAACGGACCTAATGACGCATGTTCAAAAAAGCGATAGCATGGAGTAGCTCGAGAAAACTTTCCACAATAAAAGAGAAAGAACTTGTCCTGGAAATGAGGACACCTGTAGGGGTTCTCTTGAGTTGTCACGGAAAGCCAATTTGGCCAATTCATCCTCGAAGGTTCTTTTTTGCCCTCAGCCGAGAATCGGTGGCATGTAACGATTAACCTTTTAACCTGTGCCCTCATCCTTTGAGTGAGGTCTAGTGTAAGAAAACTTCACTGAGATATAAAGGATAGGATGCCTCGGAGTAGGATTTTTCTTCCGAGTTGCGCGTGCGACAGTTGCGGGGTGCTGTAGAGTCTTTCGCCTGTGAAGCGCTCGTAAAGCACCAAAGATGACAAATAAGCAGTAAATATCATACTGCATCAAGCACGAGTGTGTGCTCATTATCATAGGACAAGTTTCCGTACTGTAGTTCGAATACTCAGAGTAAGCTCTCCCTAGCAGCTTTGTAGTAAGGATAAAATTAAGCTCTGTGGTGTGAATCATCTCCGTTTTTGCGTTTCGCCTCTTACTTGACTTCTATTCAGATTCGTAGTAACGGTTTAAATGCGTAAAAGTCGTATACAATGACTTGCGTTGGCCAGCCGATGTACAAATCTGAGTTTTTCTCCTCCCACACCGGTCTGATTCTAACTATATGGGGGTCTTGTTGATGTGGTCGATTATCGATCTGCTCTATTCGAGCATGAATTGAACGCTAACACAAGAAAACTGTGTAAGCCTAACCGCGTAGTACGGACGCCGTAAGGTCCGGATGGAGTTCAATGCGATTAGATCTATCCAAAAGCTTTTCTTGTTGGCCGGAGCAAGATAAGCCACTCAGTTTTTTTCGCCATCGAAAGCTGTGAACCCATCCAAAGGAATATGGAAATCATGATTTCGTAGAAGTACACCTAGGGAGATCTGTTGAGATCTGACTTACCTTTTACATAAGCACTGTTTTACCTTCACGTAGTTGATTCAAAATCTATGACGCAGATCGAGAAGGCTACGAAATGGACTGCAAAACGTTTACGAGTTGAGGTGGAAAACTCTGTGAGAGTAATAGAGCAACGTGTTATCAATAACAAAGGAAGTCCGTTTGACGTCGATGTTATTTCCCGGGGAATTTTGCATGCCGCGTATTGAGCATGGCTTTCTTATGTCTGGCTCTTATGACGTCGCATTAATCATTCCAATTTGAATCAATGAATCAGATATATTAGTCTACGACCTATTTCACGAATTGATAACCAACTGGGTAATATGAACATGGAGTAAGGTCCATCTAGACTGACGACGAAAGACTGACGTTTCCCGTCTCTCTATGCAAGCTTAGACATACATACCCAAGAGAGGTCTCATTGAAAGCATTTAAATGAGAAATACTCTCTAGAATCCTCTCAGTAATTGCCCTTTTCCCTCTATACACATAGGGGCAATCTATGGAAATTTGTGCCGAACACTAGATCGCCTCATTTTTTCGCTTAGCAGAACTGCAATTCAGGGCTAAAATCGACTGTGACCCTTCCGAAAAAAAAGCCTCGGAATAATATGGAAAGTACCTCTGCATGTATCTAATGAGCGCCGGCTGAAGCGTAAAGCGACTGCAATTCGAGACTTGATAGTTCCCAAAAAAGTTTTTCTTTATTTCATGACAAGGATATATCATTAGGGCACTTACTTTTCTTCAAGTTATCACCACACTAACGGCTTTTCCATTTACGGGTGGTCACCAGTCAGAGCTAGTAATGTCTCTCTTCCCCCCATTTAGTTTTGACTTCGTAATTTTCCCCTTATATTGCATGCATATATCTTTTACTCTGACAATTATCATGATACACTTTATCTTCTCATTAGACGAATAGTTGCAAGGTAAATAATGTGTTCATATAGTTCACAAGTAATAGAGTTCGATTAACACACCCTATTAAGATACACAAATAATGACATGCTGAAATAATATCTATCCAGATAGAGTAGAAGCAACTAAATGGAAAAAGACAAGGTAGCGTGCTTACTTCAAGCCTCCTTCGATGGGAGTAACCATGACCATGGAACTGGAGAACTCGTAAATACAGTATAAAATCAAATATATATGAGTGAATTGGAACTAGAGTAGTTACAAATAAGTAGGCGAGTAAGTAGACGGATGATGATAATGGAGCACGTAAATATGTACAACCAGTCCGCCCGCACCCGCCACCAGACGTAGAGGATGCTACATTGAATTCTATTGTGGTAGAACTCTGAGGCCCGAGACGAATGGCATCCTTTCAGTTCTCGGCTTGGAAGTATGACAAAGTCGTCACAGTAAAAAACAAAGTGGATTGATTGAAGAATTGAATTTTTCATACAAATGTATAAGTGGGGACACTGTTGAAATACATAGATTCAGACAAATGTGCCAACCTCTCTAGAAAACGTAGTTTTGAGTAGTGAATTAAAAAGTGGCCCCTTTCCTGTCTAACCTATCATACGGTTATGGTTACTAGAGCCGTTGTGGAATCAGCAGCTCTATAAAACGAGAATGTTTTGAACTTATGGACACTTGAACAAATTTTACTTCGTCCGAAATTGTGAACAAGCGGTTGATTTGGCTCCTTCTCAAAAGTTTTCCTCCAACTCATTATTCAAGTGTTACAGGTTGTGGTCTAAATTACCACAAACGATGCGCATCGAAGATTCCAAACAATTGCAATGGGTCACGTCAAAGAAGGCCAAGCGCGATTCCATTATCCCCGTCAAGCTCAAATGTGCTGAATCTAACGGATCGACGGGTAAGATCGCCATTCATTCCTATTTGGCTTTTTCACACCTTCTATTACACCTTGGACTGTCGACTTTGATTTTTCCTTTATGTGCTTCTGTATAGGAAATGTCGTGGACCATTGAGGTCTTATGTGCTTTATTCAAAAATTCTTTTTTATACAGCGTGCCAGCTTCAGCGGATTTGCAGAGCAGCCTGCTAATACCATCAGCCATTTGTGAATAGCTTTTTTTCTGATATCTCTCATTAGTATTTGATATGCCAGCTCATTTTCATATGTTAAGTACTAAAAAGAAATGTCATGGACTATTTGATTTCAATCTTGCTTTTTCCATGTCTCTTTTTTTGGTTGGCTTTTAATCTTCGTATTCCATTTTCTTGTCGATCAAAGGTCTCGATTTCAGCAGTCGCGACGGGACTCATGTCTCGATGCGTTGGACGCTGCCAGACCGTCATCAACGATAGGCGGACCAAAGCTCGCTCCAGACATTTTCATCACAACGGACTCAGATTGCGGAGATCCAGTGGGAGGCAACGTAGGGTTTTAATGATGAACTCAACAGCGCTCTAAATGTGCCATAATTTAAAACGGCATCATGCCAGTAATGTTGCGCCCTCATAGATTTTCGGGATTGACAATTTATTTAACTAATTATTGCATCAGTGTCATCTTCCTTTGAGACTGTGGTTCCATTGTGAAAGCGAGGAAATCCATGATACACATGCGCCTAACGCTGATGGCTTATTAGGTCGGCCCATGATTACGCGTATTGGACCACTTTACATTACTTGATATAGGAATCTTTCGAGCACCGGTGGAGTTCCGCCATTTCCTTGCTCAGTTGTCAACAACTTTCGCAATCCGTAAAGGTCATCCAGCCCCCGCGTTTGTTAGTGGTCGTGGAGTTGACGTCAGTTTCGAAATGAGCCGTTTGAGTCCATATCCTTAGAAATTCCCTTCTGAAATTGCTTGCAGTTGAGGCTGCTTCAAAAATCAATCCGATTACGGGCGAGGGCACATACATAAAAACGATCGTGAATCGGTCATTTGCCGATTCAGGAATTTTCATCTTTTCTCATAAAGATTCCGCCGTCCACTTACGTGAGGATGTTCGACAGCATCCCAGGCAGATTACTTGATGTTTGGTATAGAACCTTGGTAGAGCAACTAGACAATGATGGCCCACCTCAATGAATTAGGAAGATCGTAAATGTAGCTATCGCTTTCCACATGTATTGAGCGACCAGCACCTTTGCACATGATCTGATGTCGTGTTCCTTTTAGCTTTTCTTCACACCTTTTATTTTCCATACAACATGGGTACCTGCGGCAAGGAACATGGTCACTGGCTGAAACCAGTCCTACAAGTGGCAGCGGCTCAGCCCCTCTGTTCCTGGATTTTCGGTAGCCAAATCCGCACTCGGCTCTTCTGTGTATTAGTGACACAAACAAGGAGTTGCTCACTGAGATCTTGTACCTAGCAATGCTACACTTGGTGAATGATTACATAGCGCTAAACTCAACCGTGGAGCCATAATTTTGAAAAAGAAAGCAGACCGAGTTTACTCTCTTCATGGCAACGCCTGACCTGGATGATTCCTCCTTATGCGCCCTATAGTCCTGAGTTTGCACCAACGGGCACCTTCCTGTTCTAGGCTATGCCGTACATGAGAATGGTGTTTACAGGTTTTATAAATGTCTGGGAAAAATGAGAACGAAATATACCCGAAGTGATTCGGAAATTATTTGCCAATAGTCTGATCGTGTTGCTCTACAGAGCATCTTCGAGGGTGCAACAGTTCTGGCAAAATAACATTCTAAAAGTAGAACGAGAAGAAAGATGTGGGGTTTTTCAGATGAGTTGCCAAAACACATCCTTAAAGTTTGATCGGTTGAGGCCCCCTTATTTGCAATGCTAACATTTATTTTATGTTGAGGAAATTATTACAAAAAAAAGTATTCGAATAGTAAAAATCACAAAAACAGGGAAGTAAGATGAGCCGATGGAGATGGGAAGACCAGACTTTTTACCCTCTTCGAAAGGTGCACATACATAAAGACATAGAATCTTTTTTTTTGGGGACTGACATTTGGGTAAGTTCATGGTGCTGCTGTTTAGTTCCTGCAAATGCCTCGAAAGGACCGCAGTTGCTCGTGGAGCGGGAGGCCATTGTGGATGGAGATTGCCGAGGCGACCAGGGTCAAGGTAGGTTTTGCTACGGTAAGTGTACTGGCATCGCTGTAATGTATGGTTCAGGTGCCACACACTTTTCAAGTGCATAGCTATAAGCGACCTACAGTATGTCAATATTGTAAAAAGCTCCTAAAAGGTCTTATAAGGCAAGGAATACAATGTAGAGGTGAGCCATATTTTTTTCATGATCCTTGGCTTTTTTAGCTTTTCTAAACTTTTTAGATAGAAGTCAATTTTTTTTTGCAATTCTTGTAATAAACCTAATGAGACATTCTTCTGTCGTTTCTGATCATGGTTAATGTGATGACCCTGAAGGGCTGAATTTCTGAAACAATGCTGTTTTTTCAGATTGCAAATACAATTGTCACAAAAAATGCAGCGAGTTTGTGCCCAAGGATTGTCCAGGGAACACATCGTCAAATCATCTGTTCCTTGGCACTTCTGATGATGGTAGGTCCACTTGTGAAAACTGTTTTGAACTCAAACATTGCTCAAGGAAAAGCTGATCTCAAGATACCATCCCTTGGGTTACCCTTTATTTTTGGAAAACCGTGAGAAGGGCTGGAGTTGGGGGAAGAATTCTGCCATCCCTGTGTTTTGGAACGGTATCGATAAAATGTCCCAATATGTAGTTCACATCAACTTGGGGATGTTGTGAGAGACAAGGGCAAGTCAAAACCTTCTTGCAAATGGTGGGGAAGAGTAGCTGTTGTTTTTTGGAGCTGAACTTCCCCACGGTAAGGCACCCAGTTCCTCGCTCTATGCAGTANACCTTTTCTAAACTTTTTAGATAGAAGTCAATTTTTTTGTAATTCTTGTAATAAACCTAATGAGACATTCTCCTGTCGTTTCTGATCATGGTTAATGTGATGACCCTGAAGGGCTGAATTTCTGAAACAATGCTGTTTTTTCAGATTGCAAATACAATTGTCACAAAAAATGCAGCGAGTTTGTGCCCAAGGATTGTCCAGGGAACACATCGTCAAATCATCTGTTCCTTGGCACTTCTGATGATGGTAGGTCCACTTGTGAAAACTGTTTTGAACTCAAACATTGCTCAAGGAAAAGCTGATCTCAAGATACCATCCCTTGGGTTACCCTTTATTTTTGGAAAACCGTGAGAAGGGCTGGAGTTGGGGNCAGTAAACCTTCTTAGAGACCGTTTCTCCTATCGGCGAACATCCGATGTGGGAAAAAAAGTTGGAGCCAATATTGGTTGAATAAAACTAATTGTACAGGTGTATATCTCATTTGTAAATATTGCCGACAAAATTTCATACATTATACTCTTCTTCATGCTATTTTGTGTTAGTGATAGGTCGAAGTTCGGGAGGCAGTATGGACTATATGCGCATGTGCAGTGTACCATACGACGCGGATCAAACGACTGGTAGCCATCAATGCACAGTGTTCAGTTCCTGGTTGTGGATGGGTTGCTGATAATGACCCAATCATATCTGAAGGTGCTGCTCGGGCACAACCTTTGTCTTGATCCACAAGGGTGAAAAAGTTACCTTTCAAACACGGGTAATTTCCTGGACCACTCGTTCTAATCATGACATGAGCATCAACTGAGCAAAGTTCTCAAAATTTTCCGTCCCATAATACTCTCTGTACACCTACGATTTTGAAATCTTACTCGAAAGGATTGTCTATGGAAACTGTGCAGCATCTGTACTTCGATATAAAAGCTAATTGGGAAGGCACTTGTGACTCCACTGTAACTATTTCTTCTCCACGGACTCATTACAGTTTCGTAGATATGAAGCCGTCAAACGCCTTTGCTAGATCGAGAATGGCTGAGCACCAGAGTCTACATTTTTCTCGATGCTTCCCTATCACGAGTCTAGCACTGAAGATGGCATGCGTTGAACGTTCAGATCTTCCCAGGGAAGGACAGGTTACATCTGAGTGGCTAAGAGCGTACACTTTGTCTGTGGACTTCTGCACTCAGAAGTTCGATCCCTACCGAGAAAAAGATCCCTACCCAGAAACATGTCTTGCAGTAATTGCAAAAATGGTGTTGGTACCAGCGTCAGGCTTAGGTTGACAGGGCGGCTTAGTCGCAACAAAATACGTAAGTCTTCAAAACAGTAAGAATAAAGGCTCGGCCATCAAGCTGTCATCCGTAGATGACGGACAGGACTTCCGCCAGAGTACTAATTGTAAGAATACTATGCGAGGATTATTGAGGAGTGAACAACGACGTCCACACAAGTTGGTCGAATTCAGATCCTGAATGTTGGATCGCTTATTGGGATGCACCGCTAGGTTGCCGATATAATGGAGCTCAGAGCATCCGTGAACCATATCTTAAGGAGGAAGCTGAAAGGAGCAAAGACCGGAAAAATCGTAGAGGCTGGTAAGTACAACTACAACGGAGAAAACGCTCAACAGTGTGACATAGCAGTAGCGAGGTCCATCAATAATTCATTCTGCGCAATCAATAGGATCAGAGCTCGAATCATGGCTGTGAGATAGACTTCTAATTGGCGACGTTGAACGGAAAGGCCTAGAAAGGGTTTGCGGTGGTAGAGAAAAAGAATTCACAAGCGAAGATTGAGAGAGAAAGTGCGAGCGGCCACAGCCCACGACTTAGCAGTCTTCAGCACCTTTTTCGCTGAAAGTAAGATTCGGGAGGTAATTCACAGCAGTGAAGGGAAACAGGTTGGAGTCGAAATTGTGCTCGAAAACAATCGCCTCTTGAGTTATAAAGAGTTTCAAGATTATGCCTGATGAAGAATTGGTCCATCAGCACAGGCCTATCCCACAGACATTGCCGTAGAGCTCCCCTAGGCCATGAGGAAAGAATCCGGTGGTTAAAGCTACACGAGGAAAAGTGAAAGTCATCCTGAAGTGTACAAAGGAAACACGGGGTGAGAGCGGCGTAGGGTGAGGGAGGCAGGAAGCACCCAAAGGAGACAAGGCGGCATGGTTCTGGAGGGATGGAGTACATACAAAAAGTCGTAAAGCAGAAAAAAGATGCGAGTTTCAGAAAACTCATCCTCTTACGGAAGTTGCGAGAGGCTCGCCAAGGTTGTCGTAACGAAGGCAAAGAATGCGAAAGTGGATGTCTTGCACGAGAAGCTTGAGGCCGACAAGGAGAAAATCTCGCTCCCAGGCTGCCAAAGCCCGGCATCGGGGTATTCAAAACATCGGGGCAAAAGATCGTAATAAACGTTTAGGGTGCCTTCCTTAGGAGTTGAGCTGAGGTCAAGCGCAGGTGGAAAGGATACTTCGGGCTCTCAGAAGAAGAATTTTACGGTGAGGCGACTGCTGGCTCAATCGCCCTAGGGGAGGATAGGATGAAGCTATAAGGTATAAGTTATAAGTTTATTACGCTTGCGGAAGGCAAACATGAAAAAGGAAACAAAACACAACGTCACTTGATCGAGTTCGTCAAGCAATAGAGAAGGTAAAGCTTGGGAGAGCAACTGGAACGTAAGCGGTGCCAACTGATGCCTGGAAGACGCTCGAACAGTACGAGATTAGAAGGATCCCATGATTTCCGGCGTTCCTCATTTTACTTTTGAATACTCTATAATATTACGCTCCCAGACATTACACCGTAAATTTCACATAATCCAGTTGAGAGACTGACTGACAGCTATTCTGCTTGATATCGAATGTTGCTGATGAAGTGGTCATTATCAACAACCTAAATTGTCGTTGTCCTTTTGAACTCTTCTCCAGTAGCTTTGGTGGTATTCCAGCTGTGCTGCAATATTAGTCCATTTAATATCACTAATCTCTGTGTGCTTTTGGAGTTCGTGGAGGTGCTTTCATGTACTCATTTATTGTACTAATTCATTGTGTACTTAATCGAGGTCATCCGGATGAATGAATCCGATCACGAGTTCGGGTATAATTGCTGATTTTTGTTTGGTACGAAAGCCTCCTCTATTCTAACACTCCTTCTATGGCACGCGAATGATGACTTAGGTTCAACTATGTGTATTCTGGGGATCTTACGACATTTGAGCCCAATCTAAGCTCCTCTCGCTCCTATCGGACCTCAGGAAACATTCCGTAGCGAATAGCTGTAGTTGCCTCGGCGGAACCCGACCTAAATGAACTCGTGTTAATGCGGAGAAGGTGGAAGAGTAAGAACCTTTGGTAGTAATTTTGACAAATGCAGAAATGCTGTAGGGGTCTGAGGAAAGCTTATTCAATGAGGCGAAATTTTAGTGTGAGGCGGGCGAGGCGTAGTTTGACGTCCTGTTCATCAGGGCACGGAATATTTTTCAAATCTCTTTTAGAAATATCCGTAACCACTGATGACCAATGAAATGTGTGCGTTAGTAATCAGTTTCATTTTCAGAAATAGAGGGACCGTCGGGGTACGCAAATGTGGTGATTTATAAACCTATTCGACAACTCTTACAGACTCATTTCTGCACAGGGTGGAGCGTGTGGTGTGGTAGATTCCCTAGCGTGATCTTCCCAACCACGTTTTAGGCACAACAGTACTCTGCCTGACAGACACACCTGTCCACCGCACTTGGATTTGAAGCACTTGGAGCTCGAGTGAGAGTGAAATATGTATATGTCAAAAAATACCAAACAATCTAGAAGAGTTCGCTGACAATCAGCAAGGGAAGGGCGCCGTTGACTTGCAGTGATTTTCAGCCGTTGCTTATTTGTTTGCAGTGCCACTAGTGGTGTTTTCCTTTTTGCTTTTCTCACCGATCACATTGTGCCTGCAATGCGAGTGCACTCGTTACTACTAGGCATTTCAATGAAAAAATCCTTCAAAATTTTAGGCACATCAGAAGAGCGAGAAGATGAAATGCTGTTGCGGACTCACAAGAAAGCTCAGAACACTCCAAGTGCACCGCTGCAAGGGTCTGAAGTCGGGTTCAACGGTCAAGCTAGTAGTCCTGACGATGATGTCATAAGCACAGAGAGTCAGGCGAGCACTTCGTTCTTTTTTCATTCTTTTTGGTGCTCTCTTGCTCATTAGGCATGGTTCCATATTACATCGGTCGCAAAGCTCCTGTCTGTTTGACTTTGATTTTTTTTTCTCACCTTTCTTTCCTATAGCTCGAAGATTGAATTGAGTCGAAACCCTCCCTTTCCTTTATGTAAAACTCTGAAGAGACTACTTAGAACTGTCGTTGTTTTCGACAAATGGGTCTCGTCGCTTCATACTCGCACGGATGGCCAAAAACAATCTGATACATATTTTACGCCTTCAGGGAAGATGTTGCTAAGGGAAGGTGCAAAACGGAAACGGTACAGGTCTGGGATGAGAATTTGAAGGTGATACGCTTTCTTGAAGGCTTGCCTGTTCGAAAGGCGATTTCCGAATAAACATGATGAAAAACGAATCCCACTTGCTTCCCTCCAGTTTCAGTAGGGGCGCTTGGAGTCTTCAGAGGTATCGTGCCGAGTAACCTGCACAGAACGTAGAATAGAAATGAGAAAAGAGTCTATGGGTCCCTTTAGAACTAACCGCTTTCATCATGGCAGTGCGCGTGGTAGACGCAGGGTAGACGCAACGAACGGATGGATGGAAACAAGGAAACACAAGAAGGAACCTGAATTCTATCCGAAGGGAATCATACCCTGCTTACAGGAATTTGTGTCATTCATTATCAAGTTTATGGGCAACGCCACGTGGTGAGGTTGAAGTCCTGAAGTGAACACGGACATAAATTCCGAGACATCGATTCCGATGTCTCGCTTTAATGATCCTGAAAGATACGGTCCTCCCGCACAAAAATGCCCAGACCTCGCGTCGTAAGATGCGTCGTGCAAAACGTGATCATACTGATCATTGAAGCTCTCCAGCATCTTTCTTTTTTCCAGAAAAGTAAAGCACTAACAATTTAACTTTTTCACTCTTTGGAATAGTTTTTGGAAAAGAAATCGTCTGGATCAAAAAAAGATGTCAAACGATCTTTCGACATTTCTTTAATTTCAAGAATTCGAATGCTAATCCGAGGAAAATACTCGTGGAAAGGAAAGGTGGCATCTGCTTGTGGAAAGGTGGCAATGTGGGCAAGGGGTTCGGTCGAACGGATCTTAAAACGTTCGTATTGGGATATAATTGATGTTCGGAAGTTATTCATCCAAGTGACAAGAACTCTTCGACCAACGTTATAGTTAGGTTTGCGTTGAGCCTACTCGAAACAGCCCATTCGAAATCTGATTGAAGCAATTCACTTTCTAGAGACCGAAACATCAGTGTATCCATCAAGTTCTTTATAATTTCGTATTACTCTGGTTTTTTTTTCAGAATATTCCTCTTATGCGAGTAGTGATGTCGAAGAAGCAAACGAAACGGAAAAGTAATAAAGTGCTCAAAGAAGGCTGGGTTGTTCACTATACAAACCAGATGAACATGGTTAGTTCAACATTCTCGCTAAGTAGTCAGCAGCACTGAAGATTAACCTTCCATTGGGACCTTCAAATCTAAATTCTTTGCAGAGGAAGAAACACTACTGGCGACTGGATACGAAGAGTCTTATTATGTATCAGGATGAGACTTCAACGCGATACTTCAAGGTATGGCGCTGCCCAGTTTTTGTCTGATTTTGCTGGGGGCTCAGTAATGCATCGCTTCGGTTTTGCGTACTCGGTCCGCTTTCATTCCTTTATTTTTTCGCATTTTTACTTGCTCTTCTGTTAGATTAGCTTTTTCAACTTGAGACATTCTCAATTTCTTTTGCGCAAAATTACTTTCCCTGTAAGGCTTCATTTTTGCTACATCGCCCTCGTTTTCACTTCTTTCCTACATCGTCACTCTTTTTTTCGCTGACACACTTTTCACATACATAATTGTACACCTTCAGCAACTCCAAACCTTCGATGTATCCTTCAATCCAACAGCTCGTGCCTCATATCTCAAAGACTCGGCCTCTTCGATGTCCTGACCTCTTCCATTCTCATGTCTTTCGAAATCTTTCGCGTTTTGGCTTCATTTAATCACTCCCTCTCAACAAGTTCCATCATCAGCTTTTTTTTTTGTTCGTGCTCTTTTGAATTGCTGCTCCTCTCTCTTTACTTCCTTCTTTACCACTTCCTTCTTCCATTGCCTTTTTTCGTTCTACATGGGTCTCTAACTTAGTGTTGCTGTTCTTAAATTATGGTTTTGCTTCCAGGTCCTCTTTCTTTCTCTCGCTTTTTCTTTTTTCTTCCTTGTTTACCTTCCTACTCAATGCTTTTAAGTGTGCCCTTTCGAAACCTCTATCATATTTTGTAGCAACATTCGACCCTCTAACAACTCCGAAATCAATGCCAATAGCGCAGTGACTGCGAGTGCGTTAAGCAGGCGTTTTAAAAAAGGAAGCACCGTTATCACTTTCATAAGATCGCCTCATACACACACTGCAGACCTGATTGATTCCATAGGTCTGTTAGCAGCCGGTTCCCTCAATTAACTCTCTATCACAGCCATTCTCCTGCAAAAAAGCTAAGTCCAATGCTTTTATATACCAATGCTCTAAGTTGGTTAGAAAATGATCACCAGAAATACAGACACTCAACTGTACTTCTTTTTGAAGGAAATTCCTCTGAACGAGGTTTTGGATCTGAAAACAGTGGACCATGAAACGTTGAAACGATCCAACACCCATTTCTTCGAAATCCGGACGCAAGACTGCACTTACTATATTGGTTAGTTCTTTTTTTTTCTAAAAGGGTGGATGCTTTTTCGCGTAAACGGTATATCTTAAATTACTCGGGAAGGCTTTCCTTCTCAGCTGTCAATACAGCAGTCTGTTGTAGCTGTACATAGCAAGTGAGGAGAACTATGAAACTCAGTCTTTCTTTTTTTCGTTTTTTCTTTAATTTTTTCCCTTCTAAAATTCGATTTCAAATATCACAGTCATGTTCTGCTAATGTGAAGGTTAATTCGTTTGCCGGCGAAGTGGCAGTGCTCCTTTGTGATATTGTGGCTGATCAGTGTTATTCGGAAATTTTGTGTCACCAAAGGCTTGGTGAACTTGGGTAAACGATACCGACTCTGGTTGAATATTATGAGCTCGATACTTTTGATTATTATGAGCTCGATACTTTTATTCCAACTAAATA